ACAGGAATGATATGGAACAGATATAATAGCCTCAGGAGAATGTTCATCTTCAATGAATATAGTCTGCCAAACCAAGGGCATTATTGTGCCATTTAGTCAGCTCTCCTGAGAGTTTTTTTTTATATAATGTTGGGAAATTCTTCAGGTACAAAGTATGGAAATTTATTTAGGAAGAAGCCAGTCACTGAACAGCATAGGTTCCAGGACTGTGTACAGAAAATGTTTGGTAGGTTGAGGCATTTTTTAAGAAACCTAAGCTGGTGACCCTGAGCTGGGCTAATGCAGGTTGCTTTAAGGCAGTGTTTCTCAACTCCAGTCCTCATGGACCCCCAACAGGTCATGTTTTCAGGATTTCCCTCAGATGAAACAGCTGTGGTAATTACTAAGGCAGTGAAACTGATCAAATCACCTGTGCAAAATAATGGAAATCCTGAAAACATGACCTGTTGGGGGTCCATGAGGACTGGAGTTGAGAAACACTGCTTTAAGGTAAGGGATGTGCATACTGTGTCAAGGAGACTAGAAATGGTATCCTTAAGCTTGGGATATCCACGGATTGGGCCTTCTCCTAAACTGAATCCTCAGAATTGGATGAGATACCATCTTCTACCTCATGAAGCACAAAAGCAGTAAGCGGAAAGTCTGGGATGGACTCAGGAGGAAGGGGGAACCGTTTGTGGCTCATTCATTCAAGTTCTACCCATAAATTCAGATATAGTGACTGAGAACTCCTGTCTGGATCAACTGGAGGACAGCGACCTAAGGAGGAGAGTGACTCAGACTTAGGAGAATGATCAAGACTAACCTGATCAGAACCTTCAGGGGAGCTGCTACACCTGCTTTCTGCATAACCTGTGACCTCACAGATATAGCTGCACTGCTCACAAGTACATGTCTGAACAAGAATCTGTACATCCACTACAGTCAGGTAGTCAACAGCCTTTTCTTTCATAAGATGAAGCCAAGTTGCAAGAGGGAGAGATATCTGCTAGGCCCAAACATACAGTTAAAGTGTTACTAAACCCACAACAGTAAAATCAGTCTGCATCTGCAGTAAAGCATGCTTGTTATACTCACTGTGGAACCTAAGGGGTTAATCCTCTGCATTATGTAAAAAGGAAGTTTGACCTGACTTCTGATACTCCCCTTCTTCCAGTGCCCCCCTTATCGTGTAGAGACAATCTGCATATGCTCAGTTTGGTGTGTATTGCTAGGAAGGTTTTTTTTTTTCATGGGAGTGTGCATGTGATCAGCACAGGGCCAAGCAGCACTGTCCAGACAGAGGTAAGGGGTTCTGCATTATCCTAGAGCAGAAAGAAAACTCCTCCTACAAGCTTTAACTAGTGCTCAGCTGGACACTGATAGAAGTCACAAGACTGCTCTAACTGCTGATGGGAAAAGGTATTTAGCAATTTATATTTACTAAAATAATTGCATTTCCATGTTGTGTGTACTGTGGGAGACCAGATTGAATGAATGTCAGGTCCTGGGTTTAGTAACACTTTAAGCCTTCCTATAAGCTTAAAGAGACTTGGGAAACAGACGAGCAGAAATGTCTGATGGTCTATCTGATCTGTAGAATAGGGCTAAGCAATGTTTAACTGCTGCTGATGAAACACGTAATGATGCAAAACAAATATATGAATGCACTCACAGAGCTTAAAAGAACTTATGAAAGATAGAGTTTAAAACACTGAAAAACATAATTTTCCTCTATCAACTATCAATACAAAAGCTTCACTGCCTGTTACAAAGTGGCACTTTGCATTTTTGGGGGGCCAAGTCACTGAAAGATGACAAGATATCAAAATTGCATGAAACTGTTTTGTGATTCTCTCCAAGGTCTTTTAAGACATCTTACAGGTCTAATTAAGGTCTCACTCCCAGTGATCACCACAAATATTCTGCTCTTTGCGATTTTCACTGAGCAGTCAACTTATAATGGCCTGAGCTAAAGCCGAAGCGAACTGCATTGGGGGGGAAGCAGCCATCAAAGCACAAGCTTCGGCGCAGGTGGAAATAGCAGATGCCCAAGCACAAATGCAGGCAGAAGAAACTCAGGTGGACGCAGAGTCAGATGTCCTTCAGAAAGAAAGAAAACAGCAGCCTTAGCCAAGCTCAGAGTTTTGGAACAAGATGCAGAGGAAGTAGTAGTCTTCCATTGCCATCATTTGACAACCTCCAATGACCCTGCAAAACAGACCTTGCAGTTCAGATCAATCAGCATACACGTGCACTGGACACTTTAAACCCAGTACAAAAATCCATAGAACATTGAGCAGCAATCAGCCATACAGGTCACCTTGGCACAACAGATGCTTCTTTACCTCAAGAGTTACTATGATCCTATGCAGCAAATCATGTGCCACTACAGAATATTCTGAATCCAGCTCACCAAATTATCTCAAAGCCACCTGTGACTAGTCATACTGCTTTTAGGGCCCACACCACGAAGCCTCCAAAAGTCAAACCTTCGCCATCACTGAACCCATCTGCTACTCCATTCTCTCCTCCAGTATGTAAACACCAGGTATTGGATACCACCATCTGTAGCAGCAGTAAAGGATCATCTTGCAAGACAATCCTCAAGGAACGGATATGTTGGACAATGCTAAGCACATGACCTGCAGAGAATTAACACAGTCCTTATGAAGTATGGTGATCACCTAGAGCTCTATAGAAGCTGGAGTTCCACCTTTAAGGTAGTAGTCCAGGGACATTACCATTCTGACTATGAAAGAAATTGATTTGTTAATCAGATTGTTAGATTGTTGGACTGTCTTAAGAGGCTTAAAAATGGTCATATCCAGGAATCAAAGGCCTTAATCTCACATGGAAAAATTAAAGCAAACTTATGAGAGCACTGAATTTATCGAGCTTGCCTTGTTCAAGAGGCTGCAGGACTTTCCAAAACAATCCAACAAAGAAGCCCTTTAAAGAATGAAAGGAGTTTCTAAGGAACCATGACATTTGCTGATAAAGTTCAGTATCCACAGAAACTGCAAGGATACAGTTAAGCGCTCAGAAAGTGAAAGCAACAGGCATGTATCAGCCCCACACAAGACCCTTTTAACCAGAACTGCACTTCCACCAATGATCTTACACCTGTGGTCTTACATGTCAGATCATGGCAGAGAAAGCAATGAGCAGTCACCACCAACAATCATAGCTAAATAATATGAGCTACGTCACAAAAGACTTGCAGAGAAAACCAGTGCTAATTTTTGTCTGGTGAAAGTGTTTCCTCTGAGACAACCAGATAAATCTATCCATATGTAAGCTGTTTTAGGTGACCAAAGCAGTTGTTTGCCACTTCTTGAGTCCTTTGACATGTTCAAAGTAAGGAGAAGAGTACTGTCCTACACCATGCACACATGTGGTGGCACAGTAGAAACTACAGGAAGAATTAACCCACTAAAGAATTAATTATCTCAAGCATAAAAGGGACTGAAGGAATTCATCTTACTACACTCGAGTGCATCAAATATCTAATGGCAAATAGGAAATCCCTGCCCCGGAAGTCACACATTACATATGACTTTAGGATTTTCAGATAAGTCTACATCCACCATTTGAAGATAATACCAAAATAATGCTTCTGCTAGGAGAAGCATCCCAATAGTCCAGAACGTACAAGAGCAGAGTAATCTTGGTAACGATCCTTATGCCCAAGGGATTGAACTAGGTTGAGGCATTATTGGTGCTCCTTGCTCCAGTACGAAACAGTTCACAGTGTGTGTGCTTGTAAAGCGATTGCTGAGAGAATCCAAGATGTCCTCTTCAGCTCTCAAAACTTGTGCTATGAGAGCTCAGAAAAGACAACCACCCAGCCAACGAGACTTCCTCAGTGATCAAGTCTACATTAGAGAGTTAGTGAAAAGATATCTCATAATACTACTGACAGAAACATGACTGAAACTTCAATGGATGACGAGGAATCTACTAAGATCCAAGCTGACATGGCTGACAGCTCGAGCAGTACACCAGGAATCTTGCTAAGAGCGAGTGGCCTGAAAATTCATCCACATTTTCTATGCCAGTGTTCAAATGGGAGCCTCCTCCATTTCGCAGGTTGAGAGCAGAGCCTCCTGGGGACAGAGTAATACAAAATTCCTTCAGACCAACAAATGAGACTTTTCCACTTCAACCTCACAGTCATTATGCATGTTTTGCCACAGATGAAGAAGTGACTGGATCCCTTCATGGACTGCTGCAGACCTGAAAACAGCAACACGAAGGTCATCCCAGTTTCACCTTATGCTTTTGGGGCTTCAATATAATATACATTTGCATGTTCTCGCTCTTTTTTTTTTTTCTTTTTAAGGGTCAAGTGACAAGTCATCCTTTATGGATTTATTTTGGGTTAATGAAATCTTACGATTTCAGACAGGAAGTGTTCCACCCCTCTATCATGTAATTTATCGGTGTTGTTTTGAACTGCATTTATTTGTTATTTTTCTGTAGTATGCTTACATCTAGTGGAAGTTGTGGACCACTACAACTTGTTTATTAAGAGGGTTTTGGTATCTTCCTCTGTCCTCCTCTTGTCCTGTTTAGTGACAGTTAGTTTAGTTCCAGCTAGACACTCCCCACTTTTTCCAGATTCCACCAGTCAGTTTTAGGTATTCGCAGAGACAGAACTTAGGAAATTCATTGTCTTCTTACACTTCAAAGGACTGGAACAACATCCTCTGTACTGCAACTAGCTGAAGCAAAATTGTATTGGACTCAACCTCTGCCTGATTGAAGAATTAAGCTGCATGTGAATGGTACCAAGTCAGCAGGTGACCATAATGTCCAGACCGGACAGACTAGGTCTAAAGTATGTCAGCATTTAAAACCCGAATAATTATATTGCACTATTCAAAATAAAAGCCACTGGCAGCAAAAAATAAAGACATGGTTGTGACACTTATTTATGAACAATAACTTTATTAATATTTAATATTGACTAGTCTCCATAAATAAAAAAAATGCTCAAAGAGGAAAGTCTTAGTTGCTCAGTTTCTAGATGGTTTCGTTATAAATTTTGTGTGATGCTCACCTCTCTTGCCACAGAATCCACTTGGGACTGTGTCAGAATCATCTTTAAACCTGCATTATTATGGAAGAGAACAGCAAAGACCATGCAATCAGCAATTGTAAAATGTCACAAGATTTTTTTTCTTGTATTCAACAGTGAAATAATTTCCTTGGATAGTTCAATGAAGAAAACAGCAGACATCTGGGGTATAAACAGATAAACACCAAGCAAAACCCAAAAAGGCATCCCCCTTCCATTGCAAGCTCCCTTTGCACAGATGATAGAACTGGCAGTATAAAAAAAAAAGTATCAACCTAGGTATCCCTGTAACCTAGGCTTGAAAAAGCGGTGCACCCAGCAATGCAGAGCCCAGGGAATGATAAGAGCATCAGTGGAAAGATGCCTGGAGTGAGCTATGAACCGGAGATCTTTGAGGGTCTTGCACCTCAATTGAAGTGCACCACTGTTTTCCAATCCAAAAAAGAATCTTCCAGATGAACAATCCATTCCCCCCAGCTTGCAGAGAAAATCAACCATACTACTTTCCACACCTTGAATATGGACTGCTGACAAATATGAATAGTAAACTGTTAACAGCAAAAGAAGTTGGATATTTCCTCTAACAGCCAAATTTCTGGTGCCTCCTTCCTTGCTCATGTATGTCAGAGCAATGGCATTTTTACACTAAGCTTGTGCTGGAAGGTCAGTTGTGAAGGGAAAACTGGTAGAACAGTTACAGAATAGCCCAGACCTGAACAGAAGGAAGGACAACTCCATTTCCTGACCACGATCCAACAGATTTGGATTGCGCTTAGTAGGGAGATGGATAATATGTCTTATTCGGAGAGAATGGTGTGGTGTGTAAATTGCAACTCTAGGTAAAGGTTGTGGTTTTTTTTTTATTAGACAGGGGAATGGTTACAGCATCTGTCAAGTTTTCACCTTTTCATTTGTACTTGTCACCGTTACAGGGAAAATTAAAACATTTTAGAATAGTCCTTAGAACAAGAGTGAAGTGAAAAACTTTCAATGGGGACACGTGTTTCGGGAACTATGAAATAGGTGAAATCCTCTCACTTTAGAGTAGTGACGTGAATTGAAGTTACAGGAAGTGAAGAAAATTTCTTCAATGGTAAACAGACAACAAAGTAACTTGGCAGAGGACACCATCAGTCCAAGGACTCACATAGAGCGAAAACAGGTGGCGCGCCCACCCCTAGTGCATTATCCAAGGTTTATTGTAGGAGTGAAAGAACAATAAAAACATACTCACAGACGAAGCATGTATCTAAAAAGCATAGAAAAATGACAATGGCCACAACAGCAGGCAAGGTGTTCTCACTGTCAGTGCGGTCAAATGGCTGACGCATTTCGGGGATGAATCCCTTTCCTCAGAGCTGATGACCAACCTCTGATGCTGATGTATGATGAATGGAAAGTAAGAGCCTTGCTGTAGAGGCATCAACAGCAAGGCTCTTACTTTCCATTCATCATACATCAGCATCAGAGGTTGGTTCCCGAAACGCGTCAGTTTGGCCGCACTGACAGTGAGAACACCTTGCTTGCCGTTGTGGCCATTGTCATTTTTCTATGCTTTTTAGATACATGCTTCGTCTGTTAGTATGCTTTTATTATTCTTTCACTCCTACAATAAACCTTGGATAATGCACTAGGTGTGTGTACCACCTGTTTTTCTCTCTATCCAGTGGCTGATTTCCCCGTCTGAGGAGGGCTGCACCCCTGAAGCATTTCCTTTGGTTGTCGCTATCCTGGTACCCTTGGCTTCCCTTTTGGCTGTGCATATCCTGAGGCGCTGGAGAGTACATACGATATCAAAGACTCACATGCATGCCAAACGGAGAGATGGTAAAAAGTGCAGGAGAGTGTCACCTGCTTAAAAAAAAAAAAAAAAAAAGATGTTATTCTGGCATCTTGAAAAGACCCTGACAACTAAAAGCAGGTAAAAGCACAGGAAAAATCAAGTATTCTAAATGCTTACTTGCAGTGTTTTTTATGGGTAGAGTACAGGACACAGGATCTGAAATCAAAGATCATGTGTTATACCTGTATACTGCTGGCTCGGGTCACTGGACACTGACAAAAGGTTTGTTGGTAACACCTCTTAGTGCACCTCAAATACTCTCACTGTGGGACTCCAATTTTGTAGCAGGCAATAAGGAGAAACAGAAAACAGAAAAGTACTAGTGTTCTGTACTATATTCCAAGGTATGCAATTTAACTATACAGTACAGGAGGCAGGATCTGCAGCCATAAACCATGGGGTATTTCCAAGCAATAAACTGAGGAGTGGACACCAATATAGCAAACTAGGGCAAACAGGTCCACAAGAAAACAAGGGTCAATGTACTCAAAAGACTCAGCTTGAAGCACTTTGCTGCCAAAGCTTGGTAAAACTTCGAGACGGTATAAACAAGACCAAGAGGTGGCTTTCCCAACATGCAAAACCAATGCTTGATGCTGAAAAGCCCAAGAAACACCACAGATCTGGTTGAGTGGGCCCTGATAAGGTAGGGGGGAACCCTTTCTTATAGGGCATAAATCCTGGAAATGAGCTTCTTGAGCCACCTAGGCATGGTGGAAGAGGAAGTGGCATGGTCTTTGTTGGGACCCTAAGTGTTGATTCACACATGTGCAGTGCAGATTGAAGCTCAGGTTTCAAAGCTAATTGACAGAGTAGCTGTTCACCGTTTCAGGTCAGGATTACATCAGGTTCAGGACAGCATCAACTCAGGATTTTATCCAGTTCACACATCAGGTTTAGAAACGGTTCTCTTAAAAGTCAATAGTATGTATTTCGCACCTGAACTGGACTGCACTGCTCAGAAATTGTACATGACTTTTTTTTTAGGCCGCACTGAATCTGCACCAGACATATGTGAACAGGCACCATAGGAAGCAATGTTATTTCACATGTCATGTAGATTGGATGCGATTCACACCGCATCCAATTTGCATATATGTGAACAGGCACTCAGGGAGATCAAAAAAGGAATCAGTTGCTCCAGAAGGAAGATGTTACAGCTAGGTAAACCCTATCTTTTCTGACCACATCCAAACAAAAAAGTGAAATCACCTTGGTGTGTGTCGGAGACAGATGGATGGATATTATCCTCATCATTAGGAGAGAAACAAAATAAAAGTGAAGTGCTTCTAACAGTATCAATGTGTAAATAGGAAAATTGAGTCATCATTAAGTGAAAGGAAGAAACAACCTAGGGAAAGACATAAAGAGTGTCTGCGTCTCAGGACCATTTTAGTTGAAAGCACGTTCAAAAAAAGGTACTATAGAAGAAAGAGTTACTAACTCAGCTGTGCCTGAAGAAGGTAATGGTCATCAAAAAAGTTACTTTACTGGTGAGATCCTCAAATGGGATATCACAGATTGGTTCAAAGGGAGATCTTTGAAGAACCAAAAGTACCAGATTTAGATCTCAGGGAAACACAGGAGGTTAGTGGGGGATTAACATGAGCCACATGGAAAAGGACAAAACACACCCGAAACACAACTGCAGCTGTGTTTTTGATGCATTTTCCATTCATTCAGCTTGCAGGACTTTGCAAAACGCAATGGACTCCCAGTTGACAATTGTGAAGTGTGCCACAGGATTTAATGGTCATGCATTTTTCTTCTGCTTTTTTTTTTATGAAAAAAAAGGAAGAAAAACTGATCAGTGTGAAAGCAGCCTAAAAACTAGATGCTGGTTTAGACCATACTGGAGAAGATCAGGATGCAGGAAATAAAAAAAAAAAATTGAGTGTTGAAGTGCCTGCTTTTTGCACCAACCAAAACAGACCTTCCAATGCAATAATAGATCTTCCAAGAAGCAGATTCTCTCACTTTGAGCAAGGTGTGAATGCCAGAATCAGTAATACTACTGGGTTACAACAGACCTAATGTTAAAGCAAGCGAGACGCAGGATGAAATTGAGGGCCTTGTGACAGGAGGTCTTGCCTGTTTGGAAAAGGCCAAAGCTTGTCCACCAGGAGTATATGTACCAAATCCTCCTTGGCCAATTTGGGAGATAAGGATCACAAGAATCCATTTCCCTCTATCTTGAAGGGCAATCATGGGGTAGCTTTATTGAAGAGAATGCATACACCAGACTGAACGGGATCCAAGGAATCATAACAGCATTCACAGTGAAGGTCAGTGGATTCCTGGATATAGTCACAAACCTATCCAATTTGTAGCTGAATCTAAATGCCATGATGTTCTCATGTTTTATACTTCTAACAGAGCATCAAGCAAATATTGGGGTGAAAAGACCAATCACCTGGGTCTTGATGTTGGCAACTCAAAGTCCACCAGGCTGTTTTCCACTCCAGGTGTGCAGATGGACAAGAGTGTTGGAACATGGCTCTCCAACCAAAAAAGGACCCGACTTGCCTACTTCAGAGCCGCTTGACTTCTGGTTCCACTTTGGTGGTTCATGTAGGCCACAGCATTGTCCAAATGTACCCTTGCTGGGTAACCGTGTAGGAGAGTCAGTTTTATGGTTCACAAAATTGATGACAAGTGCTAACTCCTGTGGGTACCAGATTCCCTGGACAGGGTATTGTACATCCCGCCCCGGTCTGACAGGCTGGTGTCTGTTGTTACCATCTCCCAGGGAGAAGGGAGGAATGATTTCCCAGATTCTAGGTCTGAAAACGATCAACAGAAGAAATCTTTGTCCCAAAAAGGTCTGAAGTAGAAATGAGCAAAGGGGACCATCTCAAAGGAAGCCACCATGAAGCCTAGAACTCTCATGTAAAAGTGAGTTCAGGAATGTCTGGATGGCCTGACACTGCTTCAATCAATGAGCTCTTGGTAGAAAACAAATAGCTGGAAGCCTTAATTTGCATCTCGAAAAATGTTGAAGGTAAAAATTCCTCTGCAAGATCTTCTTCTGCGTCTACCTCATTCTCCTCAATATCTTCCTTGAAGATGTTAGGAGGATTAGGGTTATACTCCTGGGGTGAAGAGGCAGAAGAGTGATTTTGGGTTCTGGAGATGAAAAGCTCTAAAAGGGCAGGGTGTTTCTTATAAAAAATCAGACATAGTTTGGTG